AGGAGAGGCTCTTAATATTTTTGTTTTAGTTTAGCAAGAGCCACACATGGCCTAAGACAGAAGATTGGTGTTCTTGAGTAATTGTATGGCAGGATTTTTTAACTTTTATTTTAGGTTCAGGTGTACATGTGCAAGTTTGTTATATAGATAAGCTTGTGTCACAGGGGTTCATTGTATGGATTATTTTGTCACTCGGGTATAAAGCCTAGCGCTCAATCGTTGATTTGTCTGCTCCTTTCCCTTCTCTCACCCTCCAGTGGGCCTGTTTCTGTTCCCTTCTTTATGTCCATGCGTTCTCATCTGGCTCCCACTTAGAACATACAGCACTGGTTTTTTTGTTAGAAGAGGCCTTCTAGGTTAGAAATAAATGGATAGCAAGTATTAGGGAGGGCTAGGTGAGCAGTGATTCAGCTGGATACCAATATCTACATTTTATTTTAGGAGTAGGGGGTGAGAGAAGGATCCCCTAAAGAGATGAAATTTGCCTCTGTTAACAGATCTCTTTTGCATCATTTGACTAAAACAATCACATCTCGCCACAAATGACACCCCCTTCCGTGTGCATATATGTAACCACAGCACACTGCAGCTGCTAGGCAGGCTGGGGAGCTACCCCTGTGCCACCCTTGGGAGCTGCACCTAGCGCCCTAGAACAGCCACGCGGCTCTCTATTGACAAGAACATCTAATGCTAGGTGTGGAGCTAAACTACCATTAGCAAAACAGCGGCTGGATGGTCCTTTACTTTGGACAATTATTTGAGCTTCTGCAGACTAGATAAAAACCTGCGTATGTCATAAAAACAGGAGGAGGAGGTTGGTGTACACTGTGAAAGGAAAAGTGGGGGCATAGTCCATTGTCACTCTGTTTTAGGATTAGGATGTGATCATTCAGAATTTCTAATAAAAGCACTCTATAGATCTCGAATCCCTGCCTTGTTTCTCCCGGGTTAAGTGTTCTAACATGAAACTCTACTCCACCATGTGTGTGTCTAAAGTTTAGCCAGTAATTATTATCTGAATTCAGATCTCATGTTTTTCAGTCAGGACAAGTGATGGAAAATGCTACTAAAATAAATGATTTACATGTATTTCCTAGGATTGGAACAGAGCTGTAATAATTATTTCAGAATATGATCCATCTAATAGTTATTCTAATAGGGTATTCCAGAACCTCATGGGGGAATTTTAACAGCTATAGTTCAAACTTTATCTATTTTAAAAATTCAACTTCACCATACATTTTGATTCAAGATTTCCCCCAAGCATTGAAATATGACTTCATTGATTGATTGATTGAGAGATGGAGTTTCACTCTTGTTGCCCAGGCTGGAGTACAGTGGTACAATCTTGGCTTACTGCAACTTCCGCCTCCCAGGTTCAAGTGATTCTCCTGCCTCAGCCTTCCAAGTAGCTGGGATTACAGGTGTCCGCCACCACGTTCTGCTAATTTTCTGTATTTTTAGTAGAGACGAGGTTTCACCATGTTGGCCATGCCGGTCTCGAACTCCTGACCTCAGGTGATCTACCTGCCTTGACCTCCCAAAGTGCTAGGATTACAGGTGTGAGCCACCGCACCTGGCCTAGAGTTATTTTTTACAGCTAATAAAAGCCACCTGGTGGCTACATCCTGTACATATTTCCTCTTTATTTTATGGTGTCCATTATTAGCATGGATCTTGGTTGGGTAGAAGAAATAAAATGGAAAGAAACCTTGACTTAACTCAAGGTAGTATGAAAAAAGCTTTTCATGCTATTTGGACACTAATGACTTTCTTATTCTGGCTGTAACCTTGCTGGCAATAGTAAGTTTGAGAACTACTTGTGTTTCACTTAAATCATGTGTATGGATTTGATTAGAAAGAGAAATACTGTTTTTGCTTTTTGTTTCCTTGCCCGCTTACCCCTTCCTATTCTTTATCAAGCTGTCGTCTCACATAGTCTATGAAGCTTTTGTTCCTAAATCACAGAACTTCTGTATTAATCCTACACTTACTTGGTATGCTTTCTTATGCTCCCCAGTTACTTAACGGGTATGTTAGTTTTGCTTCCCCAGATACTTTGAAGCTTCAGAAATCTCAGATTAATTGAAGTCATTTACCTCATTTTCCATAATTCATTATTTTTTCTAATGGAGGTTTCAATATATTTTAATCTTTCCCAAACATTTTTGCTCATTGTTGAACAGACACATGAATCTTTGACATGCCTGGTAAGAGAGATATGAAATGCATTCATAGGCTTATGGGGGCTAGAATCTCCTTGACCACCATAAAGTTTTTTGGATTGAGGACTAAACACAGTGTTCATGAAAGCACCTTTACATCCATATGTGTTACATTTTTACTTAAATGGAAAAATGTTCAAACTACTATTTACAACTCCTAAGTCATGATCCATTAGTTAGGGACTACCAATATAATCCTGGCTAAATCATTTATATGAAAATTAATGATTCTGATATCCTGATGGATTTCACTGAACCATACTAAATTCTTAAAATAATATAATTAAGCCACACATAGACACATGAATGGCCTGAAATTAGTGCAAGTGGTAAAATAGGCATGGGACCCTGATTTAGGAGACCCTAAACTTGATTTAACATTGCTTTTTCCCAAAGATAAATTTAGACAGGGACTTGCCTGGGCTTTGCTAATCTTGAGGTAAGGATAGGTTTTAGGGGTCCTCCTTAGAAGGCCCAGTGATGAAAGACAGGAACAATAAGCAAGACATATATGATGAGGGCAGAATAAAGAGGGCCATGCTGTCTTTTTGTCTGAGGTAATCTCCGGAAACAGCTAGAATGAGTCCTAAAACAAGTACAGCCAGAAGCTACATGTGAGCTCCATGACCTGTGATGACAGAATAAAATGAATCTCAGCCTTGGGGCACTTTTCTTTGCCCCACCTACTTCACCAGTTAAGTCAGATGCCCAAATGCCACTCTTGCCAAGACATTAACAAAAAGTTATTTTTTGTTAGATTTATTCCAGCAACTGTTGCTCAGTATGAATAGGCTCAAATATCAAAAGTGATTATTCCAACTAAAAGCGAAAAAGAAAACACAAATGAAATGTTGGAGCAAGTCAACGTCCCAATTACCACCTTTCAGGGTCTCCCCATTTCCTGATCTGACTTATAAGTCCCTCTACATCCTGGCTTCCCACTCTATTTCCTCTGCCTCCATCCACTTATCACTGACTCATGCTCAGGAAAAAATAGCCCATTTTTCACTGCACACAACCATGCCATTTTGGGCCTCCATGTACTGACATGTGCTATTGTAACGCTCTCTTCCCCACAATTACCTGGCTAGCTCCTTCCTACTCATCCTTCATGCCTCAGACCAGGTGTCACCTCCATCAGGAAGATTTTCCTAATTTCTGCAGACGTTTTGTAGTGCCTCCCACCCTGGGATCCCATAGCACCTTGGGCATGCTTCCTTTAGAGTTCTCGCTGCTTCATGTAGAATATTCGACATAAGAATAGCTGTGTAGAATATTAACTGCCTCCCCTCTAGCCTTGAGTTCAAGGGCAGCGATCATGTTTATTCATGTGTGTAGCCACACTCAATGAATATTAGCTGAATGAAATGCAAACCTTTTTCAAACACATTGGGTTTAAAATGATACTGGAATAAATGTATTCAACATTCAGGTCACGAGCTAGTAGGTGCACTGTGAGAAGATCTGAGGACAGTCCAATTCAGAAAAAACCACAATGAATATTTAGAAACTGGGTGCCTTTCAATGACTATATCGTACTTTATGAGTCATTTTTATTAAGTGGAATAAAAAGAAGAAAACTGAAGAGAAAAACCAAGTTTCACAAGCACAAATTCACCTATTAAAAAGTCCAAATTAAGTGACCTTTTCTTTTACTCATTCCTCAAATATATTGTGGTAAAAACAGGCTTTCTCCCCCTCTCAATCCAAGGAAATACTGAAGAAACAGAACCAAGATTAAATGGGCTTTTACTGACATATGCTTATTTTGGCTAAAAATCTTTTAAGAAAATCAGCAGTTGTACAATATATCTTACAATAGAGAACTTTAAAGAAAAACTCCATGCTTGTGAAAGAAGTATTCTTTTTGCAGTATGGGACCAGTTTATATACAGTGAACTGCCTGTAACGAATTAGATGGTGCTTCCTTTTCTACGAAAAGATTAGAGGAGTCTTCCTACTGTCAGAGCCAAGATAGGCTCTTTTGAGTGTCACTATCAATAGCCAATTCAATTCAATCACCTGATAACAATGTGAACATTATGAAAAAAAGAAAACTTGGAACTTCCCTACTACATTTCTAGAAATGTCTAAGACCCTTATTTTTCTTTCAATAATAAAATGAACTAATAAAATGTTGGATACTTTACATTGAAAAAAATAACAAAACTATACAGCAATATGAACAATCTGGTATCAATGTGTAACAAATAGGGATACTTAGAAATGTTATCATATAACAATGTTAAAGATACGTAACTCTTGTCACAGCTCTATTTCATTTTATCCATGATGAAAGGTCCCAAAGCAAAGAATTGCTGTGCCTGAAACTAGTCTGTAGTTATTTTAAGTATTAACTTACTAAAAACTTTCACCTATATTTTGGCATAAGACTTGCCGTCTCCTTTACAGCATAACATTTTAATTTTTTGGTGCTTCAGATCTAGTTTACATCATACACAGTCCAGTTGTCACTGTTCCACAGACTTTTTTCCTCTAATGTTTAGTTAATATCAACATTTGTTATCAAAATTTTTTAAAAGATGCCATACTATTTATTAACAAGATAATCTTGTCAGCTCCTTTAAACCTACCAATAATTCAAATATTTGCAAAACAGGACTCCCGAGGTATCGTGTGCTATATATAGAAAACCCAACAGTGCAGTGGAAGCTAGGGCCTCCCTCAAGACAGAGACGATATCATTTCTTTCCTTTGTCATGGTTATAACTTTTGCACTCTCAGAATTTACCTGGAATAGCACTGGTGGCTTACCTCGTGTTTGGTTTCAGGTTTTCTACTGTGGAAAAGGTCTGATTTGTAATTTGAATGGACTTGTTCTTCCCACTGAACGACCCATTTTCTTTGGATATAACTTCGTATTCTGTAAAGTGAAAAAAGCCAACAGATAATTGTCCTTATCTCTTGGCTGATTTAATTGTTCCTGAAGCTAAGAGCATAAAAAAGTCACTCACATAAAGTGAGCAATTGAGACTGAAGTTCTAGAGACATACTGATCTTACACATTGGCAATTTCTATAGCGGGATGGTCAGCAGATGAAGGTTCCAGACGCATTTGGGGATTTGCTCATTGACCATTTCTGCATTTCTTTTACCAGAGGTGAAGGAAAGCCTAGTAACTGATGAAGATCCACGCCATGCCTGTGGTTGCTCTGGATACATAGCCTTTGATTTTGTTAGGTGAGTCAGATAGACAGTCCACCCACGCTGCAAAGCCCCATTTTGGAGAAGCACTGTATGAGGCGTGGTGCCTGAGTAGACGTGTTTGCAATATAGTTGGGGTAAAGGCTACTGGATACATGATATTGCTGCAGAAAACTTCTTTGAGTTGAGTATCACAGCAGCAAATAAATGTTAACCAAATAATAAACTATACTTTTCTATAGTTCACTATTTTGAACTATAGAAGTAGTGGATTGTTGTACCCACTGCCTATGTTCACTTATTTTCCTTGCATTAAAAAACAAAATAATGTCCTTAAAGTCTGCATAGAAGTCTGCCTAAATTTCACTTAAAGGCACATTTCTATAAACTTGCAGGGCTCATCAAAAGGGAAAGAAATTTAGAATAAGGGAATGCAATTTACACGTTTGTTAATTGGTTTTCCCTGCTCTCATTTGAGACTTAGTTTAATTCGTGTGATCAGATGATACAGAGGAATGAAAAGAAACAAAAAAAAAACCAAACAACAAAGCCCTACTCAAAATCGGCTCCATTAATAATAAGAAATACGCAGGTACTGGGCATCAGATAAGGTGAAAAAGCTGCCAAAGATCTAGCAAGTTATATTAGGGCTTTCTGCTGTTAGCACTGAGCCCAATGGCATGAGACGACTATTGGAAATAAAATAAAAAATGAGAATAACCCAGGTAGACCCCAAATCATCACTTTATATTTGGGGAGGATTTTTATTTTATTTATTTATTTATTTATTTTTGAGATAGGGTCTTGGCTCCCCGCAACCTTCACCTCCCGGGGTCATGCTAGCCTCCCACCTCAGGCTCCTGAGTAGTGCACCACCACACCCAGCTAATTTTTTTTGTAGAGACAGGGATTTGCCATGTTGCTCAGGCTGGTCTTGAACTCCTGAGCTCAAGCGATCCGCCCGCCTCAGCTTCTCAAAGTGATACTGATTACAGCCTTACTGTGTACAGGATTACTGTGCCCAGCCTTAGCAGGATCTGTAATCATATATGTTAAAAAACCACAAGAGGAGGATGATTTTTTCTGAACAATTTAGTATGACCATTCTTCCAAAAATTAAAAATTAAACTGGAAGACAGTGACCATGGTTTCCGGATACAATCAGTGCAGCCATTAAAGGACTGTTGACTGTTATTTAGTACTGTCACTGAGACTTTCTGATCCCAAACCCTCTCTCAGCTGGCTCTCCTAACAGAATGGAAAGAGAGGGGGGAAGAAAGAGAATTCTGAATTAAAATCTGTCCATTTTATATTTTTTCCTCAGCTGTGAAAGGATATTTGTTAGAAGAAGATGGAAGGACTTAAAATGCAAGTAAAATTCATTAAAAAAAAAAAAAAAAAAGGAAACCACATGGCTTAATGGAAACAGCAAATTAAGCCACTTGCCTTGAATTTGGTCTCAGTCTTCCCATCTGTACAATGTTAGTAATATCTCCTTATAGTGCTGCTTGTGGGGATTGAATTAGATACAGATGGAAAGTGCCCAATAGTATTTTGCAGGTATTTTGTTCAACGGGTGGTATCTATTATTACACTGCTTCTATTATTATTTATCATCCTGGAGTTGTAGTTTGAAAATGTGACTACAAAAATTTTAAGACTTCAATAGGAAAGGCTCATGTGCTGCTAAATCACCAAAAGAACAATTTATATGACACTCCAGTTGGTTATGCACCAAAGCAACCACCTTCAAAAAGCACCTTTGGCTTGGGACATTTCTTCTCAACTGTCTGACATTCTTCTTAATATTAACCCTGCCTTTTAGTGGTTGAAACATCTATTGCCTGTCTTCTCTGATTTCCATTTGGCTCAAGTTTTAAAAGCTGATTTAATAATTTTTTTTTTTCTGGAAGATCAGAATTTTCAAAATGGATCTAGAAGCTTCTTTCCTAATTAAAAAGACATTTAGAATTTCAGAAGTCTAGCTTTTGAATATCCATTTGTTTTGTGCTTTATAAGTGTATCTTTCTCATTTTTAATGCTTTCAAGTGCTAACGCCTTTTCATATATCCACCAACATTACAAAAATTGCTCCTACTGATAAACATTAATTTAACAACTTCCAGTTTATGCTACATATTCAAATATCTTATTTAATTTTCTCCTCAGGATAAGTTGATAACAATGAGGATTTATTATTATTACACCTAAGGAAACTAAGGCTCAAACAGGCTAATTCTATACACAAGTTGCATATCTAATATAAAGCTTGTCTGGGATTGAAATCTATGTCAGCATCCTCTTGGACTATCAGACTATGTATGATGCTTATAACAACTTGAAGTTTCCCAAGGTTCTAGGCTATGGCCAATTTTTTGGATGTGCTTTTCTCTACTTCAGTATAGAAGGGACATGTAGAAGCAACTGAGCTTGGATGTCTTCACTAGAGGTGAATATGTGCCCATCAACTCGGAGAAAGAAGCCAACTCGGGGAGGAATATAGTTCAGTCTATTGTATCTCAGTCCCTTTTCGTAAAACCAGTTCAAGTGACAGGTGGCAGGAATTCACCTACCATGCTATTTGCTATGTCCTCTACCTGATTTAGCTTGCTAGTCTTGTTTCTTCCTCCTCTGGTTTGACTATCCTCTTTGTTACGGAGAATCAAACTGTTATATAACAAATTCAAAGAGTGTCTCAGGGTTTCCTAGTTTTCACAATCATTTCTAGAGGAACTGGTGGGTGGGAACAGAATCAAAATTTCTTAAGATGAGCAGTAAATTAATCAGGAATATAATTTTTGTTTTTATTTATCCTAAGTCAGTTGAAGTCACCTTTAGCCTGCTAGAACGTTCTAGGTCAATTAGAAATTGGGTTGGTGAAAGAAAAATTAGTTTAATATTAATCAGCAATAGGAACTCATATGTTTTCTGTAATTTTCTGGGTGATAAAAGACTAGCTTCTTTATGGTGTGAAAAAGAGTTTTGAGAGGAAATGGAAAGAATGCAGCTTGAAGAGATCTACTAAATTAATAGGAAGCCCCAAACAAGGACAAAGAGGATCTTTTCTCATCCTATGACACTGTTGACAATAATGTGCCTTCAAGACAGCAAAACTGCTAGTCTGGCTCCTCCCCAGATATGCTTCACATGTCACCACTGACCCAGGGTATCCTGTTATCAAAGCGTCCCACCACAATAGTCCTCATACCATGATCTTACCAGTGACAGTGTCATTTAGTGGCTTTTCCCAGTCCAAGATGACAAATGAGGGGCACCCTTCCACGGTGACCACAGTGAGGTTGGTGGGTGGGTTCTGTGGTGGGCTGGTGGCATTCCCCTCTGTGGCCTCCTCTTTGGGGAACCGTTTGACGGAGTCAGTAATGGAGCACGGACTGCTGTCAGGCTTTTGGATGTATCGCACATGAGGACCTACGAGAGAGAGGATCCTTGACATTTAACATTTTTGAAACCTGTGAAGAAGACGGAAGTGAGCTCATAAATACAATTAATTTGAGGACATTTAGTCCCATATTATAAGCAGTTGGTTGAAAGCCATGATATAGATGGTTCGAATTAGGAAAATTCAAAATCTTGCCTCTGAGACACATGATATAGGGTGCTGTTGGTTTACTTACTAAATAGGTTTAGCTTATGCTAATATCTGAAAGTAATTTGATCCCCCTAATCATGGTTTAAACTCATAATTTATGGGGCACTGGGCCGTACCTCAGTAGTGGGAAATAATTAGCTCTATACTAAACACAGTTCCGGTCCCACCCAATAAATTTTAAAAACCAGACTTAAAAGAATCAAGTAACTTCAAGTATTTTATTGTATCCCAGAAGAAAATTCAAGAATATTCTAGGAATTAAAAAAAAAAATCTAGCATCTGACAGGTGTAATTCATAGGAAAATATTGCCTATAACAAGGAGGAAAAAAATCATTTGAAACCAATGTAGAACTTGCATGGATGCTAGAATAATCAGAGAAGAATTATAGTTATTGCTATAATCCACATGTTCAAAAAGTTAGTAAAGACATGCACGATATTTAAAAAGACCCAAATCAAATTTCTAGAGATGAAAGCTACAAGACAGAAGATGCAAAATACATGGGACAGAATTAATACCTATAGGATACTGCAGAATAAATGATTAGTGAACTCGAAGACATAGCAATAAAAACTATCCAAAAAGATGGAGAGGAGATACAGATGAAAAGCAATGAACATCACTGAAATGTAAGACAATTTCTGGAGGTCTCATGTACATGTAATTGGAGCACCTGAGGTAAAGAAGGGGTGGGCAGAAAAAATAATTTAAGAAATAATGATCCCAAATATTCCAAATATAAGACTTTTAAAACCCATACATCCAAAAAGCTCAAAGATACCTAGGAACAACAAAAATGTAGAAAACTCTATGCCGATCATAATCAAGTTTCCCAAAACTAGTGAGAAAGAGAAAGTCCTTAAAGGAGGCAGAAAAAAAAAGGACATGTTATATACAGAACAACAAAGATAGGATTATGGCAGATTTCTTATTAGAACGCAAGTGAGAGGCATTGGAACAGCACCTTCAAATACTGAAATAAAAGACATCATTTAGAATTTAACAACTAGTGAAAATATCTTAAAAGCAAAACACTTTTTCCAGACATACGAAATCTGTAAGAATTTATTTACTAGCAGACCCACACTAAAAGAAATATTAAAGGAAGTCTTTCAGATGGGAAGGAAACGATGCTGAGAGATATGGAGGCACCAAAGGGATGAAAAACACAGTGACAGTAAACGCATAGTAACATGCACAGTATTTTTCTTATTATTTCTCTCTAAAAGATAGTTTACGGTTTGAACATAAAAACACCTTACTGTAATGTATATAACAGTAAAAGTAAAATGTATGACAATAATAATTCAAAGGCCAAGAGGGGGTAAAGCTCTGCTAGTGTGAGATTCTTATATGTGAAGTTGTACATTATCACGGGAATCAGGTTGTGATAAATTAAAGATACATACTATAAACCCCAAAGCAACCATTATAAAAGTAGAGTACAGTTACAGCTAGTAAGACAACAAAAAAGATTAAATGAAATTGTAACATACTCAACCTAAAAGAAGACTGACAAGCGGGAAAAAAGGAACAGATAATACATGGGTAAAATAGAAAGCAAATAGCAAGATGAAGCTTTAAACGTACCAGTGTCAGGAGCCATATTAAATGTAAGGTTGTACATACCCAAAATAAAATGCAGGCTGGGCGTGGTGGCTCATGCCTGTAATCTCAGCACTTTGGGAGGCTGAGGTGGGTGGATCAATGGCGGTCAGGAGTTTGAGATCAGCCTGACCAACATGGTGAAACCCTGTCCCTACTAAAAATACAAAAAGACAGGCTGGGCATGGTGTCAGGCACCTGTAGTCTCACCTGCTTGGGAGGCTGAGGCAGGAGAATCACTTGAGCCCAGGAGGCGGAGATTGCAGTGAGTCGAGATTGCACCACTGCACTCCAACCTTGGCAACCGAGTGAAATTCCAACCTGCCCTGACCACCGGAAAAAAAAAAAAAAAACTAATCTGAATAGCTCTATACCTATTAAAGAAAGTGAATTCTATTAAAATTGATATACTGAGCTTCATTAAATTAGAAGACACGCACTGGGAAAAAATATTTTCAAAGTTTGTATCTAAAAAAGTTCTTATAATACAGATTATCAAAATTCAACATAAGTAAACAAGCAACTCCATTTTTTAAAATGGGCCAAAAAATTGGAAATAGCTTAAAAAGATATATAGATGGCAAATAAGCACATAAGATATTCAATGTTATTAATCATTAGGCAGTTGCAAATTAAAACCATAATCAGATACCATTACGCACCTATTTAAATGGCTAAAATAAAAAAGACTGACCAGACCAAATGTTGGTGAGGATTTGGAGGCACTAGAACTCTCATCTCTGCTGACAGAAAGGTAAAACAGTACAACTGCTTTGGAAAACGGTCTCTTAAAATGTTACATACACATTCCTATGTCACTTAACCACACCCCTCCTAGGTATTTGTCCAAAGGAGTGAAAACATATGTCTTTTCAAAGACATATATGTGAATGGTCATAACACCTTTATCAGTAATGTAAAAAAAAAATAGCAATGCCACAAACAGGTTTACTAAAGAAACAAATTATTGACTATCCATATAATACTAGTCAGCAATAAAAAGGAATGGACTATTGAGGTACATGCAGCAACATAGATGAATCCAAATATTTATGCTGAAGCTTGACAACAAGAGTTCATACTGTATGTTTTCATTTATATAGAATTTCATAAAGTACACACTAATCTGTAATATGGCAGGCCTGTTGTCACCTAAGAACTGGGGCTTGAGTGGGAGGAAAAAGAGAAAGGGATTGCAAAGATACATGATGAAACTTTTGGAAGTTGTGTATGTGTTAATTATCTTGACTGTGATGATGGTCTCATGGGTGTATACATATGTTAAAATTCATCAAATGTTACATTTCAGAAAAAAACTACAAATGCAAATACTGGGCTTTATATCATATTATATCTCTCCTACTGTAGTAGATTGTTGTTCAAAACTATTCTTTATGTCCATAGGAGTATTCTTCCCCAATCCTTGATTTGAGCTTGGCTATGTGACATTTTTTGGCCAATGGATATTGATAAGTGTGATGCAAAAAGGAGCTTTAAATGTGGTTTTGCATTTGGACACCCTTTTCTTAATTTTGCATTGTCATGAAAATGGCTTCTCCTGGATCACTGTTGGTTATTCATCATCCTGGGCATCAGAGTAAACACATGTGGGGTGGACCTGAGTCCAACCTACAAGAGGCCCAGCTGTACCTGCTGCTACAAACAGAACCACTAAGCTAAACACATCCTAGATCAGGCCGTCAGCTAGCTGATTTGCAGACACATGAAAAATAAACCCTTAGTATTATAGTAGGCTACTAAGATTTGTGGTTTGTTACACAGCAATAACTGACTGATACACCTACCAAAGATAGCCTTGTCAAATGTGAGATTCACAGCCAATCATACGTACCTTTGAATCTGGGCTTCCCAAGAGGATCGGTTTCTCTTGTCGGGCTTGAGCTAAAGTCAGTTATATTTTCTGAGAATGGAAGATAATGAACAATTTTGGCAAAAGATAAAAAACTTCACAATACAAGGAAAAGTTGTAGATTAAAGATAATATTTCTTGTAAACGGCTTGCAGTTTTGATTTTTTAAAATTAGACATATTCATCCACAATATAAGGCCTTTAGTTGTGTCCTGCTGCGATGTGTTCTATAGTGTGGGTAATGAATTAAAATTTATAACCAAGTGGTTAATATGTACTGATAAATTAAGATATGTGTAGCTGGTAATGACATGATTTAGTAGTAGCATTAGGCAGTCTAGATCTTTATGAACCAAAGTTAGGCAATTTCTTCTATGTCTGCTAAGGGAAGGATAATACTCTATAAGGAAGTGTTGAAAATAAGTATAATTTTCAAATTAAAAGAACCATATTAATCATAAAATGGAGTAAAATAGAAGACCCTGAACTGAGACTCCCCCGTCCCCACTCCAATTAAAATCTTTTGCACCTCACAGCTAAGCATCCAGTGAGAACGGACTGCCATACGAACCCAGTTCTTCTTCAGAGGCAGGAACTGTTGGTTGCTTTGTATCTGTGGCTATTCTGTCCCAGGGAGTTCCCGTAGGTCTGACTGTCGACCTCAGGGGTGATATAGTTATTGGGCCTGATGAAGTGATTCCTGTAATGTAGAGCCAAAGTAGTCAAGCTTTATAGGAACACTGCCAAACTTCCTATAAACATTTATTTATTCAGTAAATGTTTTCAAGCACTAACCATGTGGCTTGGCACTACAGGCCAGCCTTGGAGAGAAAACAAAACCTAATGCTTGATGGAGATAGATGTATGAGCCAAGTATATCAAAGCATTATAGGTATTATGAAAAAGTACTGGATAACATCACAGAGGGGTGTGTAGGAAGACGGAGTGGTTATGTTTATGAGGAAAGACAGAGGGTTGTCGGGTTGGAGGGGCAGAGAAGCCTAAACAGGTAACTTGAAGGGGTTCAGTAACAGCTGAGCGTGGAGGGGGAAGGAAGGGCAGATCACAAAAGAAGCTGAATACCAGGGATTTGGATGTTGTTTTTAGGGACTGAGGCAGTTGTGTAGGTGAGAGAAAGGAAGGTGAACAAGCGAAAGCAGTGGAACTGGATGGAAGGGGTGAACATGAGAGCCGTCAGGGAGACTCAGTGGCAGGCACGGAAGACAGCTAGAGAAGAAGGAAAAAAGATTCCCAGGGTTAACATCCGTGATTCTGACCCAGTGGCCAGTATGGTGCTACCCTGATTATTACATTCAACAGTGACTCCTCCACTCTTAAAACACTTAAAACTGGATCCATCCCAAGGTCCAGCAAGTCTGGTGTTTAGAGAGTGGAAAGGAGACTAGATTGAATTTTATGTTCCACCTGGGAGGAGTCACTCTTGGGCAATAGAGTCAAGGGATACAAGCCTGGCCCAGGGACTGTGGCCCAGCTTGGAATCACTGCTGAGAGGTCAGATGGGCCTCTGGTCTGGCCTCCAGGGATGCATGTTCCTGACCCTAGTGGGTGTGGGTCAGAGTAACAGGGCAAGCGAAACTCAAGGGAAGTTGCAATGCAATCCACAAGGGCGTTTCAGACTTGGCAGAGTCAACGGGAAATGCTGGTGTGGCGAAGCCTGGGTAGATCTGGAGATTGAGGGCAAGTGGCAGATGCCACATGGCAGTCCCAGACTCTGCTCACAGGCATATGTGGGAGAGCCTCAGAGGACTCCAGGACATTGGGCTGGAATTCAAGGTGCACTTTCTGTGATGCTAATCAGGCCAAATCTGTACCAGAGCCCTCAAGTCCTGTCTGGCTCCTCAGTACAGCCATTTCCCTTGCGTTAGAGGTGAACAGCAGAGGGTGAGGGGTGGAGAGCGGGGACTAGGGTTCATCTCGGAGGTAAACTGTGTTTATAGTTCTTCTTCAGGCTGGGTGGATTGTACCAAAGCTACTTTTACTGACTGGAGAGAACAAGGGTTTACATGGCAGGCACCAAGGCCACCAAACCTTCGGAAGGCACATAGCCTCACAGCATGGCTCTAGAGGGGCCCCCAAGTGGCACACTCAGGCATCAGCCTGTGGCTCATCCAGTCTCATCTGCAAGCTGCTGGAGCTCAGTCACAGCTGCCCCAGGTTCCAATGCAAGAAATGCCCCAGCTTACTAGGAAGCCCAGTCTCCTAGCAAGGCCACGTCCCTGGACCTTGACTCAGAAAGGCCCCGGAGGCATGGATAAGAGGCTGCTTTCTCCTTCAGCGCATGGGAAAATGGCCTAGATTTCGCTGTGCACAAGGGACATCGTACAAGCTCCACTACAATATCCTCCTCTCATCCCGTGAAAAGAGTGACATCCATCCCTTTCACGTCAGTCTTCATCCGTTTCGTCTTTCACAGCTGTTTTAACACTTTTATCCTGATTCCACCTACAAGATACTTAGGAAGTAGTGCTTTGGAGAGAGGGAGGAAAGATGGGGAACATGCTGTGATATGTTGGCAGGTCCTGGGTGAAGGGCCTTGAATATGAGGTAAAGCTTCCCTCTGAACTGGGTCAATTTTTTCATTCATTTATTCACTTTGTTATTACTTATCAAATATTCTCTATGCGCTAAGCACTGGATTTGGTTGTGGGAATTCAGAGAGAATATACCAAGGATTTTGTCATCACAGAGCTCATAGTCTAGTAGAGGGAGAGAAGTATGCAAACAAATAGGTCTGAAACGATTTTTTCTTTGCTCTAACGGAGGTGTATGTCAAGGACAAGAACAGAGAAACAGCAGCGCTAAGACTACCTTGGGAAGTTAGGGAAGGATTTTAAAGAAAAGGATGAAGTGTGAGTATCACAAGCCTGGGAGGGGTCATTCTATGGGGAGGAGCAACGTGTGTGCCCAGGCGTGGAGGTAAGAGGCAGCCTGCCTCCAAAACATATTCCTGTCTTGTTGCACAGGCTAGGCCTTTCAGTCACCCTGAATATTTTTGTCCCAAATCTTGCCCTGAGCACCATCATACTAGGACTGGCATGAGGGCTGTTCGATAGGAGAGCTTTCAGTGAGACATATAGGATTTTATTTCAGGAGACAGAATGATAAGTCAATGACAAGTCATCACATCTGTTATTCCTGGGGCCTAGGCAATGTACAGCATCTTGTCCAAAATAATCTATTTGTTGAAGGGTCTGAGTCAGCTTCCACCTAGGCTCTAAGCACTCAGACATCTGAGAAGCAAACTTGCCTAGATGCAGACGGATGCTTTCCTTCTTTCAGTCCAGGAGTCAGGTTCTAAGTCCTGAAAGCTGTCATTTACAGTGTCTAGTCTTCAGGACCAACACAAACGTGTCGCATACATCAATGGCATGCCTGTTGCCAGCATGCCAAGAAAAGCTTATGTTGGCTAGGAAAACTATGGCAGGAGAAGGAAGGTACATGAGTAACGTACCTGAACTTCCCGGCTTTCCAGTGACATTATTTGGCGGTAAAGGTTTTCTTCGTGGGGGAGTAGGTCTGGGTGGCAAGGGTGGGCGGCGAGTCCCTGGGATTGTGGATAAGAGATTGCATTTTAGATAAAGCCATCATAAATATTCACTATCAAAAAAAAAAAAACCCACAGGGTTTTTAAAAATAAAAAAGTTGGATAATTAGCAGTTGGATGACAGGGAACAGATTCTGTAGAAAAGTGCACACAAATAATATATTCTGATACTCCTATAAATTAATGTTGGTAATGCACCCATGGACAATGAAGCACTTTAGCATTTCGAAAACATGTCCTCGTAATACACGAATATACAGTTGGGTCCTTCATATCTTTGGGTTTCCCATCACTTAATCCAAACAAATATGGTTGGAAAAAATGTTTAAAACCACAATAAAAATAACAATACAACAACAGCAAAACACAAAATACAGTATAATAACAAGTATTTATATTGCATTAGGTATTATAAATAATCTAGGGATGATTTAAAGCTTATGGGAAGATGTGCATGGGTTATATGCAAATACCGTATCATTTTATATAAGGGATTTGAGTGTCCTCAGATTTTAGTATCTGAGTGGAACCAATCCCTCAGGGATACCAAGAGATGACTGTATATAGGTGTATCTACTTTTTGAAAGGCTGTATACACATACAGAATTTAACATCTTTCAATTTCCATATAGACTTAACAGTAGCACTTCTGAACTTCATTATCCCCAGTTGCCTTTTATTTTAAGGCTGCAATTTCTTATGCCATTTTAGTTTTAAATTGTTAAAGCATAAAATTTCTCCTTTTGTGGGTGTTTTACCCCATTCTCAGCTCTATTATGTAATTATAATTAAACAAAAACCTTTAGAACTTCTCAAAGACTACATCAAGGTAACCCTGATGGCTGAAACAACAAATCTGTACTTGTGGGGAGCAGGCTCACTGTGACCAGTTGTGGCAGCTGTGTGCCACACAAAGACACTTGGCCTGGGAGGTGTAAGTGGGAGACAAAGTTTAGCACCTGCTCCGCTCACCCACTAATGAGTTCTCATGTGAGGCTGCCAGCCCAGAGGAAGGGCATGGTTTTTTCGCTGTCTGCCTAAAGGGTGGGGTAAACAGGCACCTTTTTATAATTTGCAGAAAGGTTGGCAAGGTCAAAGATGCCTGGAGAAGTCCACCTTAACCCTCATTTTAAGTCTTGTGCTATAGTTTAAAAATTTATGTCTTTTTTGGCATAATATACGTTGGTTTTAAAATCTTCAAGAAAAATTGTCAATCCAGGAAAATGCTTTGTTTACTAGTAAGACACACACTCTGTGTGTGTGTGTGTGTGTGTGTGTGTGTGTGTGTGTGTTCAGGGGTGTACTGGTGGTTGACATTAATAAAACCTTATTCAATGCAAAGGTATTCCGAGTCACCAGATTTGTACTTTTGGCCTGTTACATAAAGCATACTCTTAAATCATGAACATAAGTCATCTCAGGCAAAAGTATGTTATAATAAATTACACAAGATCAAAACTTTGTAAGTTCCTATTAATATTTAATTTGTGCACAGGGCACTTTTAATTCCTCAAAAGACAGTATTCCAAATGTTTTCCTGTCAATAACCATGCACACAGTGGTTCTGATAGTTTGGGGTATGTGTGGACGTGGCTGTTTTTGTCACAAGAAAGGACACTGCAGTTACCATCCAAATTTCAGAGCTCAGCCATCATAAAAGTCAGCATCTTATTCCTTACCTGGCTTCTTCGTGGGGTGGGTCGAGTCCACCGATACATTTCTAACAGCACCTGGGGGCTTGGGTGCTGGCTTCATCTCTATGAGCAGAGATAACGAAAGGGAATAATCAGATAGCAAAAATGTCCCGTGGAAACCTGGTAGAGTTGTCAGTAATAATGTACATTCTTTGTAGAGCAGGGGCATTGGTGTTTTTATGCCAGAACATTTTAATGGGCTTCTACTATCTGGCTATAGAAAAATATCAAACTAGAGTTTAGTTTTTATAGATATAGATATATATTTTATATATATCTATATAAAAATATAGATATATAGAAAATATCTATATCTATATATAGAAATATATATTATATAGAAAATATCTATATATATCTATATCTATAAAAATATATATATTTTATAGATATATTTTTATAGATATTTTTCTATAGCCAGATAGAAACCCATTAAAATGAAATGCTAATTCTGCAAAGAAAACATCACAACTAATTTTGATACTCACTAGTTGTGATGTTTTCTCTGTAGAATTAGCATTTCACTGTAAATTGCAGTTTTGCCCAGATCTTCCATGAAACTCATCCTCAGTGCCTTCCTGGGTGGTATTCCTCACCAGGTGGAATTTCATTTATGGTACTTGGCCACCTTTTGTCAATATTCATCAGTATATTTTGTAGTTTAAAAAAGTTGTTTTTCTTTCAATCCCTTTATGCCCATTAAAAAAAAAAGAATTCCAATGTGTTTGGGTTTATACTTAACGAAATAACTTTAAAATTATTCCTGAAGTGGCATTAGCTATCAGGCTGTTGAGGCCACAAATGATCTTTGGGGATTTGTAACTTAGCCCTGGTAAAGCCTATACTTCTAAATTACTGTTTGAAAGAAACTGATTTGAAAATCACTTTGTGTGACATTTTGTCTCCTAAGCCCCTCAATAATCTAGTGGTTATTACTAGCCATTTGCCTAAATATCCAAGCTTGGACTTTGGGTAGCAATCCCAAAGGGAACTAATTAAGTTTTTGTCTTATTTTTAAAAATAGTCTTTTATATTATAAAATAATCTTTCTTTGTTTGGCTGACAGTCTTCATTATAAAAGAATACAGACATTTTTAGAATTTCAACAATAAAAAATAATGTCCTGTCCTAAAAAAGAATTCAAGCCAATTTGAGGCTACAATTTACATTTAAAAAAAAATAGGAATGAAATGTTTAAATTAATATACTAGTTAGTACATTTACGATGACAATAACCCTGTTTTGAAGACTCACTGTGTTCCAGAAGCTGTTTGGGGACATTATATACGCAATTTGATTTAATGTGTTGGCAGATAGATTAAATATATAACAGAAGGTTTGCCTCTCAAAAATCAGATGACATTTTCACGTTCATTTATCAAATTCAGGAGATGAACCTACTATTGCAATCCCACACCCTCTGCAGCTTAAGAAATAAAATATGTAAAACCATGGAGAAATTACATATGGAATCATCAATTAAAGCTTGCTTATTGTAGTAGGAAAAAAATGTTTCTGGGGGCAGTGACTTTTGTGACTAATTCCATAGGCAGGCCACAAGCAAATGGTTCGAGTCTTCCTCCTGTGTTCCACTATCAGTGGTCATGGGGCGAAGGACATGGCTCGTTTGAGTGGTTACTCTGTGAATGGCATACGGAATTGAAGAATACCTGCATGTGTGTCACTGGGGTAACTTGGCTTGCTGAGGTTTGATTTACCACTATTTCTCCAGGGTAACAAAAAGTTTAATATACTCTAGAAGGCTAGTAGGCTGTTGTCTCGAGGAGATCCTCTTTACAGCCCTTTTCCAAAATCTTCCTGCCCTTGAAAAACAAAGTATCTTTGATCCAATACTGTGCAAGTGCCTTACTATTCATGACTTGATGTAATCCCTTACCACCCTTTGTGTGTGAGACACGATCCACGTCCCACAGACGAGAAAACCCAAGGCAAGGGGAATTTAGCAACTTGCCCAAGGTCTCACCACTAGGAAGCAGTAGGATTCAGGCCTACACATGCCAGACCCAAAGTCTGTCTCTTCAGCACTAAGAGGCAAAGCACAGAGTACTGCACAAAGAACACTTACTGTGTTCCTCTGATCGTGTGAGACACGATCCACGTCCCACAGACGAGAAAACCCAAGGCAAGGGGAATTTAGCAACTTGCCCAAGGTCTCACCACTAGGAAGCAGTAGGATTCAGGCCTACACATGCCAGACCCAAAGTCTGTCTCTTCAGCACTAAGAGGCAAAGCACAGAGTACTGCACAAAGAACACTTACTGTGTTCCTCTGATCATTTTCTTCCTGCTATTCCTCACAGTCACTCTGAGTAATATATTCCTAGAGCCCTCTACTCTGTCTCTTGGGTGTCTTGAGCTGCCACCACTGTGTGAGGGCTCAATGGCCATAGCTGGCAAGCATGTGCCATCCAGCCATGCTACGGGTGAATGGGACTCAGAAAACGGTCCAAGGCTGACAGCAGTTGCTGACCAGGCATATGCAAATCCACCAAGTCACAGAGGCCAGTAGGTTAGAAATCTAGGAGCTCTGAAGAGAATCCAAATTTTGCAGGGTTACATTATATGTAGGAGCAAAGATAAAAATTCCCTTGCCCTCTCTTTTTTTTTTCCAGGGAGAATCTGGAAGAAAAGAGCCATTTTCTATGTAGGTGGAGACAGAGGCATCATATTCTTAGGACCTTTAAGATGTAAGTTCACAAATCAGAGAATCAGCTGTGAAACTAGACCTTCTCCAGCCTATATAAATGGAAGGAAGCCAGTGGTGCCTGAAAGCACTGGGAAGGGCCATGCAAAAGGCAGCTGAGTGGCTCAGTGGGAAGATCTGGGGACAGGAGACTGGGCTTTTGTTCTGGACTTGCTCTCCTGCACCTAGCTGCAGTTTGGGCATTTCACCGGGGCCAGAACCAGAGACACTAGTGAACGTCTCTTGCCCTGAGTCAGAGGAGAGCAAATGAAGGCCAAAGGTAGCAGAGAGGCAATGGGAAGAGAAAGGAGAAAATCAGTGAAAGAAAGGAGAAAATCAGTAAGAGATACAGCAGAGAACGACTCCACAAGAATTGGCACCCAATCAGACAGCTCAAGCTGTGACCCAACTTCTTTTTCCCTCAGGCAGGATTAATCAACAATCTTCTAACGGGCAGAGTCAGCTCTATAAGCACCAAGACTTGAGCCTCTGAATGAGCCCCCAACTGCCATATGGGAGTCCTCCAAAAACTCTGGATTTACATATTTCACCCCTCAGTAATTTATCATCCAAAATGAAGTAACAATCTGGGTATTTTTAACCATGGTAACAAAAACTTTGCAAACAAACAGAGTAAATGGGAAGTCAGTTCTTAAATGTACCAGTGACTTCATTCCATGTGACCAAAAAGGGGTGATATTTATGGATGATTGGTTTCTGCACTCTTGTCCCAAATCTTAACACCTGGCTAAAAAGCCGGGGCGGGGAGCCAGCAGGCTGGAAGATTTAGTTACAGCCCAGAAAAACACATTCCTCAGCCTGAGGGGACTGGATTCTCGTGCAGCGCACTCACTGGGGGCAGTAAATCGTGGTTCCCTCATTAGGGTGTAGAGAATGGAGCCTAGGTTTCAGGTATTTAACAACATCTGCCAAACCATACGTGCCAAGGCGGTTTCAGAATTACGCTTTGCCTGGTACCAAAGTGGCTTTCAATAAATGTTGGTTGAATGAAAAAATAGCTGCACAGGTTCTCTCAGGGAGAAAGATTGTCTAGCACTGGGACTGGCAAACTTTTTCAGTACTTGCTTTCACAGCACAATGGCATAATTAAATATTTGTGAAAGAGACAGTATGGTCCACAGAGTTGAAAATATTTATCCTTTACAGAAACAGTCTGCCAACCCCATACGAGACAATATTTTAACCTTTAAGTGCCATACCGTCTGTCACAACAATTCAATTCTACCATTACACTGTATACGTACCTTTGTACACAGTACACATTGTGTGTGAAAGGTAGATGTATTCCAATAAAATTTTATTTACAGAAACAGGCAATGGGCCAGATTTGGCTTGTGGGGCTGTAGTTTGCACAATTCCTTGGCCTAGTGTATGCATGGCTTGTTGCATACCTGTAGGCAGGTCTCAAGGAGATTTTAATAGATAGGACACATCAGCTAAGCTGGGACACATCTCTGGAAAGCAGAATGCTAGAAAAATTACCCACTTTAGATCTCAGTCTCGACAGGCTACTTTCCAACCTTGGGGTACAGCAATAACTATCTACACATACATGTATAAAATACACATACATCAGGGAAAATATCTATAATGATGTTGTGAAATAAGAAATAAAACACCGGGTTCAAGATATTCCTGAGGGTTATGGAATCACAAGATTTTTATAGAGACCTCAACAATCAAAGGTCTACAGTCTTGAAGCCTCAGAATCAGTTTTTCTTTTTTTAAGTCTTCCAAGGGCACAACCTTAGTTGGTCTAAGACCATAAAGAACACGTCCTATAGGACTACAAATTAAAACCATAATGAGATACCATCTTATTCCTGCAAGAATGGACATTATCAAAAAGTCAAAAAACAATAGATGATGGCGTGGATGTGGGGAAAAGGGATCACTTGTACATTGCCAGGAGAATGTAAATTAGTACAACCTCTATGGAAGGCAGCTTGGAGATTCCTTAAAGAACTAATAGTAGAGCTACCATTCGATCCAGCAATCCTACTACGGACATCTACTTAAAGGAAAGTAATGCATTACATGAAAGACACATGCACATGTATGTTTATTGCAGCACAATTCACAATTGCAAACATAGGGAACCAACTTAAATGCCCACTGACTAATGAGTGGATAAAGAAAATATTTGGCATGTATACACCATGGAATACTACCCAGTGATAAAAAAGGAACATGATCGTGTCTTTTGCAGCAGTTTGGATGGATCTACAGGACATTATTCTAAGTGAAGTAATTCAGGAGTGGAAAACCAAAAATTGTGTGTTCTCACTTAAAAGTGGGAGGTAAGCTACAAGTGCATAAAGGCATGCAGAGTGATATAA